AATGTTGAATGTTGCTGTCAAATTCTGAGGTCCAGCCCCCAAATCTTTATATGCTGAACACATCTGCCTAATCAATAAATCCGATGCTACCTTTATTACGATCAGGTGGGAATAATATGTGTAGACCTGTATTATGCTCAAGTGATTTCCACTCAAAGTGCTGTACAAGCATATATATACAGCATCACTAAGATGTAGAAATCATTAGGAAAAAGGACATTTTGGCCAGAGACAACAGGAAAAAGCCCTACTCAGCAACTGAACATGCATTTTGTTCAGGTAATCTCTTAACATCTGCTCCTTAATGTCCACACATGCAAGACATCCAAATACCACATAAACCAAATGGCTTAGTGCTCAAGTTATCTACGCTGGAAGAATGGAGGCCTGAACCAATCCCATCAAGATTTGCCCCTGAAACTTCAGTAACCCCAGATGTATTAAACCCAATTGTACACACTTGATCCTTTTCTGCAGATTTGTGTGATATTCATCATTTCATACACTGGAAGGGACAGATTTTTGTATTACAATTTTAAACAATGAAGCACAGTTTAGTATTGTTTAGCACAGGGATCGGCAACCTTTACCACGTGGCCCATTAGGGAAAGGCGCTGGCAGGCCGGGATGCTTTGTTTACCTGCAGCATTCACAGGTTCGGCTGATCACAGCTCCCACTGGCCATGGTTCACCGTGCCAGGCCAATGGGGGCTGTGGGAAGAGGTGACCCGGCCCACGCCACTTCCCGCAGCCCCCATTAGCCTAGAATGGCGAACCGCGGCCAGTGGGAGCTGCGATCGGCTGAACCTGCGGATGCTGCAGGTAAACAAACCATCCCGGCCCGCCACTGGCTTTCCCTGATGGGCCGCGTGCCAAAGGTTGCCAATCCCTGGTTTAGCAACTAGAGGTTTTAGGACTCCTGGGTTCTATTCCCAGCTCTTGCTCCCTGTGGGGTATTGGTTAAGTCACTTAAGCTACCTGCCTCACCTCAGTTACTGCAAAATAAAATAACACTTCAAAGAGTAGTTACAGGGGTTGCTTTAAAGTCTATTAGAATGATTACAGGTAAGTGCAGAACTTTTAAACCATTAGCTTCCCAAGCTAAACAAGAGGTTTGAGTGAAAAGAACTGGAAAGTATTCAGCATTTTGTTTGTTTCCTGTAATGCAGTGGTCCTCAGTGGCATTTCGGCGGCAGGGTGTCCTGCGGGCGCACATAAATGCCCAGGTGAGCGCCATGGCACCCGCGGACACTGCATTGGGGTCTCCTGGTATAATGAATGCTTCCCTTTCCTGATTTCCATCAGGTGCTGATTTAACCATTTCTGCCTAAACATGTAGTTGGAGGTTATATGACCTTCTTAACCTCCCGATCTGCCCTTCTTGTGGAAAAAATGTCAATTAAATGGAACACCTTGTTGGCTTGTGTCAGTGCACCTGCTGCTTCATCTCTGTGAGACAGTATTGCCTTGGAAGCTTGAAAAGTAGGCATCCAGTTTCACCAATTTTTTTTTCAGTTTTATGGCCGAGAACCCCTTCAGTGAGAGGTTTCTTTCCATAATCCACAAACAACAATCTTCCCAATCCAAGATTATGGGGTTTCTTTAATCATTAACACAAACATGACATGATTTCTCATTATCTATGAGGCTACTAAGGAAATATGGTTGCATGTGTATTCTCTTTTACAAAATACTTACACTTATATACAAATATGAACCATCTTTTAATCTCTTAGCAAGATTTTAATAGTGCTGTGTTACAACATTTCAGTGACCCAAATAGGAAGTCACTATCCAATATCTATACATGGGAAGAGATCCAAAGTTTACCAGTTTGCATTCATGAAAGTCCTGTTTATAATGTAACTGACTCCTGAAACAGACCCTGCAAACTTTCCCAACAGACTCCTGGATGGAGCTTTTTTTGAAGCCATCAAGATTGACAGAATGTTATGTTGATGAGTCAGTTTGATTTCTACAAAGCCAAAAACTGCTTTGATTTCTACAAAGACAAAAACCGTGGCTGTTTATGCAATATACGGACAGAAGAAGAATGGAGATCTAGCATGGTCCTTGAAAGTAAAAACAAAAATAATTATTCCAATGGCGGGGGCAGAAACAACAAAGGGGACATTTTAAAGAAATTTTAAAATATTTTAATTCAAGATGTTATTACAGAGAAACTCTTTTTAAATCTACAGTGTTCTAAACATATGACCTGATTTTCAGAGGTTTTGTGGACCTACAATACCCATTCCTAGACCCTCTGAAAATAAAGGCATTGGTACATATGTCTCTACCCAACTCTATATTTTCCAAGCTTCTACAACCTTCCACTGATAGAGGATTTGGGAATGTTATATTGTACACTTCACAGTAATACAATAAGTTTTGGCTATGCTCTGCTACAATGGTACAATGCTACAGCAGGCAACCCACATATGTTCAAAAATGTTTTTTCTGCTGCTTACCTTCTCAGGTTATACTGCTTAGCACGATTATTTGATAATTCAGAAGTGATAGTTCTGATCATTATTGTTCTTATATTCCCCTTAACTCTTCTCATCGGGGACAAAGTTTCCCTTTTAAATTGATTCAGAAGCATTAAAGATCTATCACCTCTATGCATATGTCATATTGCCAGAGTTGGGATCAGCAGAGGCACTTGCAATGGAGCCTCTTTAGTAGAAACAAGAGGAGGCTGGTGGCTAGGACATTATCTGTGAGGGATTCCAGGCTTCAGAATTTACTGTCCCTACTGGTCCGCAATATCCTGACTGATAACCTTCAAGACATGCTGGGCTACTTTTCTTCCTGAGCATTTGAAAAGTAAAGGGAATTGTATGGATGGGGAACTGCTCAAAGGGGAGGTGGATTTTAGTTTTTAACTTAGTAGTAGTGGGTTATATTTAGAGACCTACCAAATTCAGGGTCCATTTTGGTCAATTTCACAGACAGAGGATTTTAAAAATACTCAGTTCCACAGTTTCAGATGTTTACATCTGAAATTTGAGGGTGTTGTAACCATAGGAGTCCAGACACAAAAGTGTGTCTAGTGGGGGGGTTGACAAGGCTATTATAGGGGGTTCATGGGATTGCCACCATTACTTCTGCACTGCTGCTAGCAGGGGGGCTTCCTTCAGAGCTAGGCAGCCAGAGAGCAGTTGCTGGCCAGGCGCCCAGCTCTAAAGCCAGCACCAATGCCAGCAGAGCGCAGATGTGAAGTAGGGTTGCCAACTTTCTAATCGCACAAAACTGAACACCCTAGCCCTGCCCCTTCCCTGAGGCCCCGCCCCTTCCCTGAGGCCTCCCCGCTATCTTCCCCCTCCCTCAGTGCCTCGCTTTCCCCCACCCTTACTCACTTTCACTGGGCTGTGGCAGGGGGCAAGGGCTCTAAATGGGGGTGTGGGCTCCGTGGTGGGGCCAGAAATGAGGGATTCAGGGTGCGGGAGAGGGCTCTGAGCTGGGGCAAGAAGTTGGAGTGCAGGAGGGGTGAGGGCTCTGTGCTGGGGATGCTCTGGGCTGGGGCCGGGGATGAAAGGTTTGGGGTGCAGAAGGGGGCTCCAGGCTAGCGGGTGGGGCTGAGGGATTCAGAGTGCGGGAGGGGGCTGTAGGTTGGGGTGAAGGGGGATGAGGGCTCTGGAGTGCAGGAGGGGGCTCACTGGGGGGGGCTCAGGGCTAGGAGTTGGGGTGCAGGAGGGGGTATGGGCTCTGGGCTGGGGCCAGGGATGAGGGGTTTGGGGGGGGCTCAGGGCTGGGACAGGGGGTTGGGGCACGGGTTTACCTCGGGTGGCTCCCGGTCAGCGGCACAGCAGGACTAAGGCAGGCTGCCTGCCTGTCCTGGCTCCGTGCTGCGCTCCAGAAGTGGCCAGCAGGTCCGGCTTCCAGCCAGAGGGAACAGGAGGCTCTGCAGTGTGTGCTGCTCTTGGCCGCAGGCACCGCTCCCCTAGCTCCCATTGGCCAGGAACTAGCCAAAGGGAGTATGGAGCTGGTGCTCGGGCAGTGTGCGGAAGCCCTTTGGCCCCCCTCCTAGGAGCTGGATCTGTTGGCCATTTCCAGGGTATAGCGTGGTGCCCCAGGACAGGTAGGGACTAGTCTGCCTTAGCTCCACATTACCACCGACCTGACTTTTAACGGCCCGGTCGCCAGTGCTGACCGGAGCCACCAGGGTCCCTTTTCAACCAGTTGTTCCGGTTGAAAACCGGACACCTGGTCACCCTAAAGTGAGGGTTGTAGGGTCTGGATTACCATACATTCAGGTTTTTCCCAGTAGTCTCCCACCCAGGTTGGGGGCTGACAGCTGGACCCATAGCCTCTCTGTGTGGGGGCCTGAGCACCGGAGCCGCAGCCTCCTGTCCCGGTCAGGGGCTGACAGCTTGAGCCGCAGCCTCCCACTTGGGTCAGTGGCTGACAGGTGGAGCCCCAGCCTCCTGCCCAGGTTGGGGACTGACAACCACCCTAACTTCTGTGCTGCCTTCAGAGCTGGGCTCTCAGTTGGCAGCCGCAGAGCTTTCTGCATCTGGAAGAGGTTCCTGGAGGTGGATTTGACTTGGCTCTGGAAGCAGCCCCTGCAGAGGAGAGGAAGTCCGGTCCTTCCCCAGAACGGGCCGGGACTAGCAGCTGGAGCCTGGCACACGGTGGAAGCTTGGGCACCCCCAGCCCTGCCCCTGCCCTACAAGAGCCAGATTTCGCAGCTGAGATCAGATTTCATGATCCATGATGCATTTTTCACAGCCATGAATTTGGTAGGGTGCTAGTTATATTAAACTGTATTGCTGCACTTAGGATGCATTATTAAATTATGACAAGAACATCTATGAAATATAGAGAGATGCCTTTTATAGCATTCCTGTAAATGGAAATAAATAAATAAGAAAGAGACTGAGTTTTATTTTATTAAAATTCTGCTTCAAAGGGTGGGTTAGTATTGGATCCATGTTCCCAAACAGCTAAATCTTGCAATTAATTTAAATACTTAACATTAGGGCAGCTGCCATGATGAATGTTGCCATAACAACACAACTGAAGTGATGTCCATGATGACACAGAAGACCGTTTCTATGGTAATGGAATGTCTTAACTTCAAGGATGCATACAAGCCCATTACAAAAAATGGGAACTAACACTCTAGGTTGAGAGAAGTTTCTTCCTTGTACTGCCCATCTGTCTACATCCATTAGTTATCTCTTGTTGTATACTTAGATGGAAAACACTTTGGGGCAGGGACCTTCTTTTTGTTCAGTGTTTGTATAGCACCTAGCATAATGGGGTCCTGGTGCATGACTAGGGCTTCTAGGGAGCCTTAGCAGTATAAATAAATAATAATCATAATTAATAATATAAATGGGACAGTCAGTTTACAAAACAGAAATACAGGGGCTAGATTTTGTTCCTAATTACATAAGTGGAAATTCAGAGATTTACTGGTGTCAATAAGATTCGAATCAGGCATAATAGAGTGATTCTGATCTCATTCAACTTTTACCTCAATGAAATTCTACTTACCGCAAAGGAATTATTTCAGTGGTGTGAAATCAGAATCAGGTAACCATTCTAATTTTAGTTTATCCAAAGGATTACTGGAGATTTATAAAACGTAGTTAAGGCCCTGGCTACACTTGCAAGTTACAGCGCACTAAAGGAGCCCCGGGCACACTAGATCATTACCCGTCCACACTGGCAAGGCACGCAGAGTGCTCTAACTCTGCGGCTACAGTGCTGCTGGTACTCCACCTCAGCGAGTGGAATAATGTTTGCTGCACCCCCGCTGGAGCGCCGCAGTGGCAGTGTGGACGCCCTGGTCCTATAGTGCGTTCTGATTGGCCTCCAGAAGTGTCCCACAATGCCTGTGCTAGCCACTCTCGTCATCACTTTGAACTCTACTGCCCTGCTCTCAGGTGACCAACCGTGAGACCCACCCATTATATTTTCTGTGAATTTTGAAATATCCCTTCCTGTTTGCTCAGCCAGGCGTGGAGTGCTATCAGCGAATCTTTCCAGGTGACCCTGCTTCCTCCACGTGCCAGGTGAGCCCCAGTATGGACCAATGGCGAGTTGCTGGACCTCATCAGTGTTTGGCGGGAGGAAGCTGTCCAGTCCCAGCTGCGATCCAGCCGTAGGAATTACGATACCTTCGGACAGATACCAAGGGACATGATGGAAAGGAGCCATGACCAGGATGCACTGCAGTGCAGGATTAAAGTGAAGGAGCTGCAGAATGCCTACCACAAAGCCCACAAGGCAAACAACCGCTCCGGTGCTCCCCCTGCGACCTGCCGTTTCTACAAAGAGCTGGACGCGATACTGGGGGGGCGACCCCACCTCCACTCCGGGGACCACCATGGACACTTCAGAGCCCAGTGCAACAAGGCAGGAGGAGGAGCAGCAAAGCAGGAGCAAGGGTGCTGAGGCGGAGGAAGACACCCCGGAATCCCTAGATGCATGCAGCCAGGAGCTGTTCTCGAGCCATGAGGAAGGTAGCCAGTCGCAGCAGCCAGTGCTTGGGGAAGGACAAACACCAGAGGAGTTTCCCGGTAAGCGGCTTTTATTTTGGGAAGGAAGTTATTCGGTGCGGGCTCTGGGAGCGACGAGGGTTAGGGCTGCATGCATGCCTAGATGCGGAATAGGGCGTTGATGTGCTCTCTCACACTGCAGTAATCGGCCTCAGTGATCTCTTCAGAGGTCTCATCCAGAACTTGGGCAATGCGCTTGCGCAGGTTTCTCGGGAGAGCCACTGTGCTCCTTGTTCCAGTCAGGCTAACTTGTCCACGCCACTGTGCCGTGAGGGGCGGGGGGACCATTGCTGCACACAGGCAAGCTGCATATGGGCCAGGGCGGAAGCCGCATTGCAGTGGAAGACCCTCCCTTGCTTCCCAGGTCACCTCCCGTAGCGAGATATCTTCCAGGACGAACTCCTGTGAAAAATGTGGGGAGAGTGTTCAGTATAGGGGCCCCCTTCCGCTGTTCGCTCTCCCCAGAGGCACAGAAACCCAGAGGACAGTAAGGCTGTGAAACAATCAGTCCCCCTTGACCCTGTGCTTACTCACCATTTTGGAGGTCCCATGGGTTATGTGCACTTGCTTTGGGACGGGCAAATTATGCTACTGTATAGACTGTGCTTGCCCTTAAGTACAGGGGAATCATTGCTCTGTCTGGTGTGAACAATGCTGCCTCTCTTAAGTGTTGCCTTTTGCCTTTACAGATGCAACCTTGAGATCTCAGCTGTCCGTGTTATCACTGGCCGAAAGACTCCAAAGAATCAGAAAGAGGCCACGTAGAAGCAAGGATGACATGTTGCATGAAGTAATGCAGCATTCAAGTAATGAAAATCAAAAAGTGCAGGAGTGGGGGGAGAGTGGAAGGAGGGTCTGCCAGCAGAATGCGGATCTCCAGCACCAAAGCACAGAGTGGCTGCTAAGCATCATGGAGCGCCAAGCAGACTCAATCCAGGCGCTTGTAGCAATGCAGGCAGAGCACTACTGCGCCCATCCCCCTAGCAGCCCTTATCCCTAAACTCTTTCTCTCCCTCTTTCTGTCCTTGTGCCCCCATCTCACCTTCAACCCACTTTCCCCAACATCCGGGTTCTTATCGCCACCAATTGCCTCCAACCCTTCACCACCAAGCCCTGAAAACTACGACCCTTACCCACTGCACTCAACATCCATCACCATGCAGCACAGCCATCCTGAAGTGCAGCATTCATTGCACAGCACTCCAGACAGGACATACGCAAATCTGTGATTGTACCATTCCCCACCCCCTTACTCTTTCTGTTTCCCAATCAGTTGTGTTTCTTTTCAATAAATGGATTTTTTGGGTTTGAAAACATTCTTTATTATTGCATAAAGTAAAAGATACCTTAGCCCAGGGAAGAAACAGGCACTGCAAGTCAGCGTAGCAAACACAGATTCCTATTAACATTGGAACCATTGCACTTTACTCCTGTGCAGGGCACCAGACATTACTGGTGGCTTTCAGCCTCAGATTGCTCCTTCAAGGCATCCCTAATCCTTGCACCCCCGTGCTGGGCCCCTCTAACAGCCCTGTGCTCTGGCTGTTCAAATTCAGCCTCCAGGTGTTGAACCTCCGAGTTCCAGGCCTGAGTGAATCTTTCACCTTTCCCTTCGCAAATGTTATGGAGGGTACAGCACACGGATATAACCTTCTCATCGGAGCCCTCACTGTCACTTTGGATCATAAGAAATCATTCGACTGCCAAACGTGACGTGCTGGCGAGACTCATCAGCATACTCCTTGGCAGTGCGGGCTCCATTCCCGCAGACCGAAAGGGAAGACAGAGCTCACAGTACAAAAAAACCTTTGAAGATGGTGCCAAATGTGGACGGAAGCAAAGGGAATGCTGGGATGCGAACTGATGCATATGGGGCGTTGGGATAGGACCCAGAATGCCCCGCACTCCCCGCCCCCTTCCCACAAGCCACAGCGCCAGAATGGGAAGAGGTGCTCTCTGGGATAGCTGCCCATAATGCACTGCTCCCAATGCCACCCCAAGTGCTGCAAATGTGGCCACACCAGGGCGCTTGCAGCTGTCAGTGTGGACAGACTGCAGCGCGTTCCCTACTGCATTCTATGAAGGCGGGTTTAACTCACAGCATTCTACATCTGCAAGTGTAGCCAGGCCCTAAGATTTGCAACAGTAAGAGAAAAGGTAAGAGAGCAACAGAGAGGGACCTGAGGAACTCTAAAAGCAGACATTATACTAGGAAAGAATTATCAATAAAGAAAAGCAATTTGGATTCTCTTCCAGAACAGTAGGAGGGAACGAAGGTTGTGGGGGAAGGTGTTCTTGTTTTGCATTGCTTTTTGATGGTTACTATATAAAATTACACCCTTCTAAAACTTTCCACCTGGAATTTCAAAGCAAATTACAAAACATTAATTAACATTTTAAAAATTAAAACCATTAATTAACATAACATAAGTAAGGCTTTTGATACCATCTCACATGACTTTGTCATAAACAAACAAGAGAAATGTAGCCTAGATTAACCTCCTATAGGGTGGATGTGCAACTGATTGGAAAAGCATTTTCAGAGAGTCATTATCAATGATTCACAATCAACCTGGAAGGGCATATCAAGTGGGGTCCCACATGGGTCTGACCTGCGTCCAGTTCTATTCAGTATCTTCACAAATGATTTAGATAATGGCATAAATAGTACACTCAAAGTTTTCAAACAATTCCAATCTGGGAGGGGTTGCAAGCACTTTGGAGGGCAGGATTAGAATTCAAAATGATCTTGACAAACTGGAGAAATGGTCTGAAATAAACAGGATGAAATTCAATAAGGACAAATGTGAAGTACTACACATAGGAACGAATAATCAATTGCACAAATACAAAATGGGAAACAACTGCCTTGGAAGGAGTACTACACAAAAGGCTCTGGTAGTTATACTGGATCACAAACTAAATATGAATCAACACTGTTGCAAAAAAAGCAAACATAATTCTGGGATGCATATTAGCTGCAGTGTTTAAGCAATACATGAGAGGTCATTTTTCCACTCTATTCAGCACTGCTTATACTCCAGTTGAGGCCTTATGTACAATGCTGGGCACCACATTTCAGGAAAGATGTGGACAAACTGGAGAAAGTCCGGAGGAAAACAATAAAAATGTTTAAAGGTCTAGAAAGAAAAATTCACATTTTCATAATTCCTAAAACACTGCAATATTAGGTGGTGTGCCTAGTCGTTCATCTCAGTTGGAGCAGGACAGTACCGAATTCAGAGAGATCTACTTATCTGTCACTGGCCTTTATTCAGATAAGTAAATATATATAAATCAAAGCCAACTGGGTAACTTGTTAAGCAGCATATCATATGTTACATGGGAATTCCATATGAAAGCTACCTTTCTGGAAAATTCACAAAGGTGATTTCTTAATCCATAGCGAACACTTTTTTGCATTAGTTTAGTACGCTCCAGTGTGATCAGTTAAACTGGTACAATTCTGTCAACTGTATAAGAGCTTAATTATCCCATCTGCTTTTGTATCCAAAAAAACATATGTGGCTGTACACTAGGAAAGGAAAAACAAAACAGAAAACAAGTCATAATGACAGGACAGGTTAAACCCCCTGACTCATTTAGATTAGAAATCCTTGAAGTAATGATCATCTGTATAACTTTAAAGAGAAGCCTATGTTTCATCTGTATATTCTCCCCACAAAATACTAGCTAGTAGTAGTTGTAATTGGAATGTTCCAAAGTTGGAGAGAGAAGGTCAACTGCAGTTGAGATGTGGAGAAGAGTAGCAAGTAGAGATGCCAGTCAGAATGAATTAGTGGCCAAATCACAAGTACCCAGACACATCTTCAAAGAGGTGTGAAGGCAAAAACCACACTAAAGTACCTCAGTTATGAAACCAATCACCACCTGCTCTCCTAAAGCCAACAGTCAGTCATCAATATTCTTGTAATCGTTTAACAGGGCCTATGTCTATTTTACTGTACTTGCAATTTATCTTAAAATACCTTCCAATTTATCTTAAAATCTCTTTTGACTCATTAATGTAACACCTTTACTTTCCTAAAGTAAACAAAAATTGTATTTAAATCTAGCCTAGAAACAATAATAAACAAAATCCAACAAAAGTAGATTTGAACTCTGGGAAAGGATTTCAAGTGTTAATTTTGAACTAGGATTGTAAGGACTTCCATTCATCCCTTACATTCTTTTTTCCCGTCAGGTGGTTTTCCAGCACTTGTTGTTAATCTGTTGAGTTTTGTAATCTCAAACCACTATTATCAAACTAATATATTTATACTTTATTTTTCATGCCAAACTATTTTACAGAAATCATGCACTCATCATAGAAATACAACTCCCTCAGGTTCAGTGTGACCATTCCAGTTGGATGCAATAAGTTAGGACAGGAAGTGAAAAATTTAGGTTGGAATATGTAATTTACTTGTTCTCATAATATAAGAACTAGGGGCCACCAAATGAAATTAATGGGTAGCAGGTTTAAAACAAATAAAAGGAAGTTCTTCTTCACTCAGCGCACAGTCAACCTGTGGAACTCCTTGCCTGAGGAGGTTGTGAAGGCAAGAACTATAACAGGATTTAAAAGAGAACTGGATAAATTCATAGAGGTTAAGTCCATTAATGGCTATTAGCCAGGATGGGTAAGGAATGGTGTCCCTAGCCTCTGTTTGTCAGAGGGTGGAGATGGATGGCAGGAGAAAGATCACTTGATCATTACATGTTAGGTTCACTCCCTCTGGGGCATCTGGTATTGACCACTGTCCGTAGTGGGCTGGATGGACCTTTGGTCTGACCCAGTATGGCCATTCTTATGTTCTTAATTAGCTAAGATGGAATCTGATCAAGGTACACTGGTATTGACTACAACACAACTCTTATGAAAAGCGTCTTTAATGATGTCAGGAACTCTGTTTTCGGTCTTATGCTAAGGACAGTGTACAGACATCCTGCCCATCCAGAATGATGCCATGCCTATCTCAAGAGGCATAAACCCATCCCAAGGCCTGCAGACTGAGGTCCTCCACAGCTGACACAGGCATTCCCCCACCCTCATTTTGTCCAGGACACCTAAGTCCCGCACTAAAGGCTGATCCCTCCCATCCAGGGGCAGCCAGCACCAGGTCCCCGTGGGTGGGCACAATCACACAGGGAGCACGTCACCAGTCTCGGTAAATCCCGCTGTCCCCTGTGTTACTCCACTGAATGGGCCACGGTGTGCAGATGGCTGATGGGTTAGAGGGAGTAATTCTGGGCTGCCCGTCGTCCCCCGCTCCCCTGACCCCCAACTCCTCGGACCGACGCGCATTCCTCGCTACTATGAAATGAAGAGGCGTCGCCGCAAAGCGCCTCACCTTGCCCAGCCTCACAACATGGCGTCAGGCGGCTTTACGCCGTCACAGAACTCAACGAGGTCGCACAAGATGGCGGCGGGCGGGATGATGCACGCGCAGAGTTCACCACACGGGACTAGGTTCTCCAGTGAGGGGAGGAGACGTTGGAACGCGCCTCATTTGCAGACCCACACAAGATGGCGACGGGACGTCTAGCTCGTGCGCGGAACGCGCCGAGGAAGGGGGCATGTGTCGCGCATGCGCAGCGGCCCCCCCCCCACGCGCGTGCGGGAGGCCCCGTGGGGGAACGGGCTCTCGCGGCTGCGAGGCCCACCCAAGATGGCGGTGCGGTTGCGGGGTCAGCGGCTCATGACCTTTCGTCCACTTGTTCTGTTTCCTGTGGGCCTTGTTCTCACTCTCTCAGAATGTGGGCCTGCCCCACTCCCTCCGCAGGGAGAGCGAGAACACCTACGGCGGCCGCTGGAAATACCTGACCTTCATCAACCAGGTGCCGGCTGGTCCGAGCGGGATTGGAGGGCGCTAGGCCTATTGTGAAGGGGGAGTTAGAGGGGGGTCTCACCTGGGGGCAGTAGATGTGGGCGAAGGGGGTGCAAGAGGGAGGGGTGGCTTGAAGGTTGCGGTGGGGGGGGGGGGCAATGATAATATTCAGCCCTTCCCTTGTGCTTCTCTTTTTCGGAGTACTTTACAAACATAAATTTAAAAAATCAAACCGTATTTTGTGGATATTATCACCTAACTTCTGTAGAAAATTCATGGAATTTTTTTCTTTCTTTTCAAAAAAATTTTTTTAATGGGGAAAAAATAGCAGATGATTAATTCTAAACAACTTAATTTTATAACAAGGAACCAAATAAAATGGCTTGTATAAAATGGGAAATTTTGAGACAGTGGAGATAGAAGATGTTCACATTGATAATTTGGGACTTGATCTTGCAATTCCTGCTGCTCACAGAACTCCCATTGGCAACAGTTTTGCACAGGGACAGTGTGCACATAGAGAGTTAGGATCAGCTGCCTTCACTTTAAAAAGTTTGAAAATCCATTACTAAAATGCATGTTTAGAATTAGTCAGAGGATAAAGTTGCCAAAAGCAAGGAGTAAGTGAAATTTATGGTCCTGAGCCAAAATAAAGTAGGGTAAAACTCCTTTTGAGTCATTGGGAATTTTGGCTGTATTAGAAATACAGAATTTTGTCCTTTATGCTGAACTGGTAAGATGTCATTACAGTAGAGAGACTAGAATCACAAACACTTGAGTGTTTTACTTTTTTTTCCCAAAGGAAGTTTAAAGCCACTGTAGTGCCAGTAAATGTATACATGAACAAAAACAAGTATATTGATTGAAGAGTGAGGCAACAGGCTAGGTAAACATGAATAACTTCCAGGACAAACTTATATTCACTTAAATAAAATGTTTTCTTCTTTGGAAGCCTCGAGAAGAGTGGTAAAAGGATATATTTGTAACCAAAATAATGTAATAAAACAATTTCTTAATATGTTTTCTTCATTTCTTAATACATTTAGATTCTGCAAACTCTATTGTTTGGAATATGTGTCATACTTGACTTTGCTTGTGTGTTCATCCCTGCCAAAAAGAACCATGTGTCATCCCGATTGTTGCCTCCAAGAGACTTCCTCTTCTCAGTGCTAGTATTCCCTGTTGGCTTAGTAAGTAGTTCCTACAAACAGGCCCCCCTCTCAAATAACTTCGGAAAAGACAGAAGATATTGGCACATCCAGATTAAACTGACACAGCTGAAAGCTGTAATATTTCATATGCCATTTTATTTCGTTTCAGACATAATAACAGATCTAATTTATCCCTGACTTGATTGACTTTTAATGTATACCCGATAGGAAAGGATCCTTTTGTCTAATATGTTAACAGCTGCTTTTTGAAACATGTGGACACAAAGCAAGTTGAGTTCACTTAGGGCTTACCTTTCTTCCCGTAAGTAATCATCAAGAATGGGGGTACTCATGAATATTTATGTGAAAATGAGTTTATGTTATCAGATTCCTAGATTGGGGCCTTGTGCACCTGAGAGAGGTGCTCTGATGTAACTAAATTGGTTCAACTCCCTTAGGTGGACATTCTTAATCCAGTGTAAGAGTACCTTATTTTGATTTAGCTTATGTCAGCGAGGAATGAGCATAAATTAAACCAAGAATAGGCACTCTGAAATAAGTGTCTACACAAAGGATTTGCACTGATTTAAGTGAATTGGTTTCTAAACTGGCTCAGTTAAATCAGTGCAACTTTCTTGTGTGGACAAGGCCTGGGATTGTCTTGAGTTCTGTGGACAATGGAGCTTAAGAAAAAAATTCTTACACTTCAGAAAATATAGAATATGCATATTTTAGGAATTAAGGAAGCATTAGATTATAAAATTGCTGCTGTAGCTCCTGTACATGTCTCACTTTAATTTTTCTACAAACTTTTTTGTTCTTGGTTAATGATTATCAATTATATTGTATTTTTCAAAGGATTGCTTTGTGCTCTGAGTTCACTAATAGCAAGTTACTGTTATATTTCCCTCATTCTTTTAGTACATGCTAACCAAAATGAAGTGCAGACCACCCACCCTGTCCTGCATCTACTGACCTCAGTGGTAAAATTCCCATGGACTCCAATGGGAGCAGAATTAATTTAATAAATTCTCTATTACTTATGCAATAACTTATAGTAGTATTTCAATGAAGAATACATTTTCTGAATTTGACAGGAAAAAAAAAAGATGGTAATCAGTACTAAACTGTCTTAACATTCACCATGTAAACAGAAAAACTTTTTAAAATATCTTCTCTTCAAAGCAACTATTTTGATAAGGATAAACTCTGTCTGAATAGTCCTGTGCACAAAGATTAGTAATACAGTAGACCCTCACAGTTACGAACACCTTGTGATTGGAGGTTGTTTGTAATTCTGAAATGCCATAATGTTTTGCTCAAATTTATGAACTTTTTCAGAAGTTTACATCTGAACATTGACTTACTATGAAGCTTTACTATGCAGAAGAAAAATACAGCTTTGAAACTTTACTATGCAGAAGAAAAATGCTGCTTTCCCTTTATTTTTTTAGTAGTTTAGGTTTAACACAGTACTAGACGGTATTTGTGCTTTTGGGGGCGGCGGGGGAGGGTGTCTCTGCTCCTGCCAGATTGCATACTTCCACTTCCAACTAAGGTGTGTGGTTGACTGCTCAGTTCGTAACTCTTGTGTTCGTAACTCAAGGTTCTGCTGTATTTAGTTTTATTTACATGCAGGTTTTTATCTCAGTTTGTAGCTGTTACTTTTTGGACCCTTTATGCATATGACAGAGAATTGGTTTACCCTAAAGAACTGGATGAGACTACTCCATCCTGGCTTAATCATACTATGGTAAGCAGATAGTGTTTCTTTCTTAAGGTCTTGGGTTTGATGTTTTTTCACTTTATGGTATTTTCCTCATTATGTATGTGTAGTATATGCAGTTTGTTTGAACATAACAATAACTTGCAGACAATTTAGTGTACAGATTTCTTACTTACCTTCTGGTATTCCACACTGCATCAAGTGTAGATATCAGGGTCATGGCCTGTAGCCCTACCATACCATTCTCTAAACTGGTTTCAGAGTAACAGCCATGTTAGTCTGTCTTTGCAAAAAGAAAAGGAGTACTTGTGGCACCTTAGAGACTAACCAATTTATTTGAGCATGAGCTTTCGTGAGCTACAGCTCACTTCCATCTCTACTGCTGGTGGAGATGCACCAGTAGTAACAAGAATGTGGGGGGGAAAGACAAGTGTAGACTCAACCCAGGGCTCTCTGTTTTGTAGGGTACAGCTACACTGAAGAAAAAAGAAGAAGAAATAAAAACCCTACAACTCTCCGGGTTTCAGAGCCCAAGCTCCAGCCTGAGCAGAAATGTCTACATTGCTATTTTAGCCTCGATAGCATGAGCCTAAGTCAGTTAGCCGAGATTCGGAGATTCTCTGCTGTGGAGTTGCAGGGAGGGGGGTTGGTTTCTTGAGTGTAGACACATCCTTAGTTCTTTTTATGAACAGCTAGATGCCTCTTTCACTGAATATCACCTGTCCTGTGCACTGAATTAGGCAGGGTGCGTGGCTAAAACAGTATGTAGCATGTAATTATATACTGTATTATAATATATACATGGAGGAGGGCTGCACAAGTCTTTTTCATTTTCTGATTTTTGGGTGCTTCACACTGCAGCCAGAACGTTCTTTTGATATGTTTTTGTATGGAGTGTAAATCTAATAATCTATCTAGATATATGAATTTCTTAAATCTTGTAGAACATTCGCGGATAAATCTGTAAATTGCACAGTAACTGGTCCTATATATTATGGGCCAGGTCCAAAGCATGTTGAATGTAGTTAGCTAAATTGGTCCTGATCCAAAGCTAACTATAAGTCAACATAACTCCCACTGAAGTCAGTTTGAGTTCTGAATGAGAAGGACTGCAGGATTTTACATTATTTAGTTATTGACTCTCTAATTTGTCTCATCGGTCCTGAGCCAGTACCATGTCAATGACAGCTTTGCCATTGACTTCAGTGAATATAGGATCAAGTCTATAGTACTCAAAATCAACCATTGGCATCTTATTTCCTGATTAAAAACATCAATTTAATTTGGTTGCATCTCTTGGTGGCCTTTAATTTCTGGGGGCGTGGATGCAGCTGTTACAAAGTAAAGAGACTACATTTGTGAGGGATGGAAGGAATCTGTTATATTAGTTCATCAGAGAAGCCTACCAAAAAAAATACTCCATTGCTCTTCCTGAAGTTTTCACAGTTGATGTTTCTGTCATAATTGTTTTCTAGGATATCGTTTGTTCATATTGTATCTTTCCAAATCTGATTCTTATATTTGATTTTTATTTTCAGCATACCACTATACTGCCACTACTTCTTGTTGAGCTGGTTACATGTCCACATAAGTATCTTTCTAAATTGAGGGGAATGATAGGACTTAGCATCTTTGGTACTTCATACCTCACATGGTAGGCATTCCTTGTTTCTCAGAAACACATCAGCACCAAGAAGCATAAAGAGCAGAATGCATGTGTGTGTTTTGTCATAATATTTATTGCTTTTCTTGATGGAATTACCATAATGTATCTTGGTTGTTACACTCTAGTATAACCATATACAAATACTTTAAAAGAGATAATAAAAATGCATGCTACAGTCACTTTTTTTTTTTTTTAAACTACAATAGTGTGGTCCCACAGGGAACGCTCCTGATTCATGACCACCTGGTTCCAAATACTACCTCCATGTGTGCTTTGGAGAGAGCTGCTGCAGAGCACTCTTCAATGGCAGATGTAGTAGCGAATGTTCATGTGTAGCCTTTATGTGGAGTGCCCCCCTTTGCTGCAGAACATTTATGACCAGTAGATTTGACCCACAGAGAGGTTTAAGCTACACCTCTACCCCAATATAACGCAGTCCTCAGAAGCCAAAAAATCTTACTGTCTTACAGGTGAGACCACGTTATATCGGGGTAGGGAGAGGAACAGCTCCCTGCCCCAGCTCACCTCTGCTCTGCCTCTGTCTTCTCTGCTGAGTGCGCCGCTGCCGCTCCGCTTCTCCTTCCCTTCTTTCCAGGCTTGCCGCGCCAATCAGCTGTTTGGCGCGGGAAGCCTGGAAGGAAGGAGGGGGGAGAGAAGCGGAGCAGCGGCAGTGCGCTCAGAGGAGGAGGGGGAGCGGAGGTGAGCTGGGGCGAGGAGCGGTTCCTCTGGGCCCCCCCTCACTCTAGCTCACCTCTGCTCAGCCTCCGCCCCCTCCCAGGCTTGCCGCACCAGCTGATTGGCACAGCAAGCCTGGGAGGGAGGAGAGGCAGAACTGCAGCACACTCGTGGGAGGAGGCGGAGTGGAGGTGAGCTGGGGTGGGGGGGCTGCAACAAGTACGGGGGGGCGCAGAGGAACCACTTGTGGTAACACGAATTCGGATGTAACAAGGTAAAGCAGCCCCACTCCCCAGAGCGCTGCTTTACCGTGTTATATCCGAATTCGTGTTATATCAGATCACATTATATCAGGATAGAGGTGTACTTAATTTATTCAAAGTCAGTGATAATGTTAAAACCTAATAATGATCAATTTGAATAGCAACATGGTGAACTATTTCACTGCTTAGTGTATTAGCAAAACAAATATTTTACGTGTGTGTGTGTGTGTGTGTGTAAAATATTTATGTAGCATAGTTAGATTCCATCAAAAGACATTCCACAAAAATAAGTTTCAGGTTTAGAATATACAGACACTTGAATATGCTGTTTAAGTGTCTGATCCTCCACATAGTATACTAGAAGGGAAACAGATAACTGGGTGCAAGAGGAAGATTTCAAAGGAAAATGAAAGATGTCAGGAAGCTGGAAGGATTTGAATAAAGCAAAGCAGATTAAATTTAAATTCTCTTTATTGATTAAAAGATACAAATATGTTATTAGACACCTTACTGTTTTCATTTGTTTTGAGTAAATTTGCTTTAAGAAAATCTCTATAGATTTCCCCAAAAATTCTGCAGGCTCAGAGACCAAAGTCTTACAAATTTTCCCTCAAATTCCCTGTAACCCTGCTCAGGATGAATAGTAAACTGTCATAAAATAACTGCTTAAATTTAGTCGCTGACCTTTCAAATGGTTATTCATCTGATACAGGCAAGTTATCAGTCTGTCTTTATTTATTTATTTATTTATTTATTTATTTCATTTTAAACCTAAAATTAAAAATACCTATCCTGAACATTAATCTCCTTTCACTTAATTATAAATATAATTACATGAATATGAAACTAGTATCTTACCATAGCTAGCTGAAAAATAAGAAAATAACCAGAAATCTTGAATCCAAATATTCCCCAACTACACTCAACAGTATGAGCCCTTAATACACCATTTCTTATCCAGAAGCTTGCAGCTTGCCCTGAAGATCAGCACATTTGAGTTACTTTGGCTTGGGGAGGGGAGTAAATTCCAAAGTTGAAGGCCCCTCAGAGAATGCCCTGCAGGCAGCTCCAATCTGTTGCATAGAGGGGGCTCCTGTTCAAACACCTGTGTTCACTGCAGCTATGGTAATATAGCCTGAGTAATGTAGTCCCCAGGGCATGGCTACACTGGAAACTTCAAAGCATTCCTGCGGGAGCGCTCCCGCAGCAGCACTTTGAAGTGTGAGTGTGGTTGCACACGGCTCCCAGTGCTCGGAGCCTGTTTACACAAGCGCTTTAAAGCGCTCTGACTTGCTGCACTCGGGGGTGATTTTTCACACCCCCCAGCCAGCAAGTTAGAGCACTATAAAATGTAAGTGTAGCCAAGCCCTTAGGCTAGGTCTACACTACGCACCTTACAACGGCACGCCTGTGCCACTGCAGCCACAGGGTTGTAAGGTGCGCAGTGTAGCCGCTCTTTGTCACCAGGAGAGCATTTCCCGCCAACAAAGTGCTGTCGACAAAGACACTTTTCGTCATTAAAAAGTCTGTCGTTCAGGGCGGTGTTTTTTTTTACACCCCTGAATGACAAAAGTTTTAACGATGAAAATGCGGTGTCGATGTACACTGAGGCTATGTCTGCACTGTAGTACCTAAACTGGCTACAGCGGCATTAGCATGGCTAAAAATAGCAGTGTAGATGCAGTGGTGTGAGCTTCAGCACGGGCTGTAGACAAGCACACCACAGACGTTGGGTGCTCACTTGCTTTGTTGAAAGCTGCATTGTCACATCTACACTGCTGTTTTTAGCCATGCTACTTAGATGCGTCTACCTGAGCTGCAGTCACACCTCTGATTGCATTGTGCATGAACCCTTCGATACATAGGTCCAATCCAATTCAGACTTTATAGCTCAAAACCCGCCCTTTAAAATCCACCTGGAAACCATTAGATAGCTAATGCACATCCCAGAGTAATGGGATCACATATTAATAAACCACCACATTCTGTACCAGCTTCTAGGTTGATTTAAAATGTAGGATGCACTGCATTAGAAAATCTTCAAATGGAAAAGGCATGGATTACTGAAGCAAGCTCCACATCCAGAAGAAATCATCACAGTACACTGCTACTGTATGAACACAACATTTAGTGATACGCCTGAATTGAAATGACCACCTCTGTAAATGTATAGTTAATGTACTGCAGCATGTCCATGTATATAACATGAAAAAAGCTGAGAACTAAAGAATAGCTACAATGTCACATTTCAGAGTAACAGCCGTGTTAGTCTGTCTTTGCAAAAAGAAAAGGAGTACTTGTGGCACCTTAGAGACTAACCAATTTATTTGAGCATGAGCTTTCGTGAGCAGGGGATATGGAGGACTTATTAAAAAAAATCTTAGCAAATCTTTAGTTATACATTTTCCAATTGTAGAACAACATAAAATATTTAAACAACAGTTACAATAAAATGTTCCTAGGGTTGAGGCAGTTCTGTACCTGCTATAATGTCTGTGCCAACTCTAACTCAGAATTCTGTGGTTGTGTGGGTTTGTGTTGCATCTTTAGGGTCACATTTTCAAAGGACATCCAGTCCATACCCATGCAAAATTTGTTCATGGAAAAACAACATTGCTTAATTACCAATCATAAGAGGTAGATAGGCTTTCAGTGATGACAGTTTTCATTCAGAAATGCTTTATTTGCTTATACACATAGAATTTGGTTTTGTGTGCACAAAGTTGCATGTGCAATTCACCATTCAGTTATGTGTTACCTTCTAGTGGACAGAGGTTTATGAATCTTCTACTGCTTACACCAGTGGTTCCCAAACTTGTTCCGCCGCTTGTGCAGGGAAAGCCCCGGCGGGCCGGGCCGGTTTGTTTACCTGCCGTGTCCGCAGGTTTGGCCGATCACGGCTCCCAGTGTCCATGGTTCGCTGCTCCAGACCAATGGGAGCTGCTGGAAGTGGCAGCCAGTACGTCCCTCGGCCCGCGCCGCTTCCTGCAGCCCCCATTGGCCTGGAGCAGTGAACTGCGGCCACTGGGAGCCGTGATCAGCTGAACCTGTGGACGCAGCAGGTAAACAAACTGGCCCAGCCCACCTGGGGCTTTCCCCACAAAAGCAGCGGAACAAGTTTGGGAACCACTGGCTTACACCTAGAGAACAGTCATTTAACTCAAGTGACCAAGGCTTGTGTTTTTAGTCACAGGTTCAATCCCATTGTTGGCACAAGTGAGGTTAGCTGCACATATCCAATGTTGAAGATCCTCTATACATTTGACACACATGGATACATTTTCAGAAGAGCTCATGATCAGCCTCCTGTTCTGCAGACTCATTTTTAAATCTTATAATGTGAATTCAAATGTGCATATTTGTACTCACAGGCACTTGGTTAGAGGTTCAGGTGCTCTGATTTGTGCTGACAATTCAGTTGTGAATACAGAAGTGTTTGTACAGTCTTTGTGGGCTTCTCCTGCACTAGATTTTGAATATTTGGCCTTCAATATTGTTTTATTTTAATGGTCTGTGTTTAAATGACAGTTGGAATGCACACACACTTAAAAAAACATCTGATAGTAACACAGGTTGGCACAATGAAGAATTCTATACTGATTCTTTTTGTGTGTACATATGATATATACTGTAACTTGTTTGGCAAATCTGCATAGTTTTGTGACTTTAAGCAATGGCTGAAAAATGCTTTGCAAACCTCTGTTCAAAGGTGCTAGAGAATTTTAAACCATTATTACGTGTAATTGTTTTAATGATAGTCATGATATTACATTTTACTCTTAGAGCCTTTCATCAATAATCTCAGATTACTTTATAAATATTAATTTATCCTCACTACACTCCATTAAACCCCCTTACATTGCTGTTACTGCAGGGAAAAGTTTAAATCAAAACAAAGCTATTTTAATTTTATCTGAAAAATTTAAGTATTTATGAACATTATAGGAAAAAAATTGCTTGAAAATTTAACTAATTTACTAAACATTCCTTTTAAATTCCTTTTAAATGCAAAATTAAAATTGACAGAATTGAGATTTTCATATGTCTTGAGAAAGCCAATTTATAATCTTAAAGCAAATTAAAATGGAGATATGTCTAGTTCTGTTTCTTAATACTGTTTGTCTTTCATTGCTTTAGGGTACTATGGGTAAATTATGCATCAGGGATTTGGGCATACCCAATTTTAGAAGTACTAGGCATACCTGGAAAGGCGGTACTTTTTACCATTTCCTACCTTGTAATGGTAGGATTCTACTTACTTGGAGAGCATCTAACACAGATATTATGGGGTAAGCAATGCACAGAATTTTCATTGTCACGGGATTTTGATTGGGATAAGGACAGTAAATGTGTGTTAGCAGAGAAATCTTCTGTCTAAACCTTTCCCTCACCAGATTGGTCAGCACAGAGCTTTCTCATCTCTTTCCATAGAACATAAATTTCTTGAATGAATGTATCTAATAAGGAACTTTTATAAGTAAATATCTGCTGTTTCAGTGGAGTTTTCATCTCTGGAAATCTAGGATGAAATTTTGCTTGAGCCATTAGACAACTTGAAACAATTCTTCAGGAATAGAAATCTATGCTTAGGAGAATCCCGCAACTGGAAATGCAGGCCAGGATTGAAATGTCCACACTACTTAATTTTAATTTGTTCCTTTCTTGCAGGTGACTTTCAAAAATGTAAGAAGTAAGCATAGAGAGGAAGCTGAAAATAGGTCACACAAAGTGCGAGTTTCGTTTATGAACATACTGCATTTTTAAATCGAGATGCCAACATGCACTGTTTTGAAATATGCTCAGTCATCTCTCAAGTATATTGTTCAAAGCAATAAAAATATTTCTATACCGATAAGCAGTCAAGCAATCTATAAGGAAAAAACTAATTTGTAATCAAGATTTTAATGCTTCTAACAAACTCCCACTCCAGTTATATAGAAAAAATGGTTTACATATATATTCCTGCCTGTATCTGTGTGTGTACACATGCACATACATATTCAGGCCACGAGAATGCTTTGCATTTTTTACCCAAGAGGATATGGTTCTGGCTAACCTTAGGGTTTTAATGCTCAAAGAAGTTAAAATTTTCTCCCAGGGTTTGTTCAAGAACCATATTAGACTCTAAATGTCACTACATTATGTCCAACATTTGTAAGAACAGTCCTGTGTTAAATAGTATTACAGGGGACTTAAACGTCAGCTGTATCATTAATCTGTCACTTTAATCATTAATCTTGATTTCAAGACCAACAAGCTATTACCTTATGAACCCTTTTAAATAATCTACCACTTATTTCAGTCTAAAAATAGAAATAACTATCCAGTTACAAAATATTGCTTACAAAATATTGAGTCATCATAACATCCTACTAAATACATGAGGCATAATTAATCATCAAGCCTTCTTTGGATGGATTAAATACATTAACAACCTTTCTATTGCATTTATAGCCAAACCAGATTTAGGATTTTGAATCTACAGGAGAATATTTAATAGTTGTAAATTTTTTTGCATCTTAATGGGTGACTAATATGTGGTACATTTCAACTTGGACCCCTGTTGTTGGAAATGTAAAATATTTATAAACTAATTCCCTAAAGATCAATCCTGAATTGTTCTTTCTCTTTTCTTGAGTGCCTTTTGCACTCTAAGGCCTTATCTACACTACAGGGGAAATTAGATCTAAGCTACACAATTTGAGTTATGTGAATAGCATAACTCAAATCGACGTAGCTTAGACCTGCTTATGCGGGCTCCATGTCTAGTTGGCAGCCCATATCAAGTGGAGTGCCCCAAGGGTCAGTCCTCGGGCTGGTTTTGTTCAATATCTTCCTAAATGATCTGGATGATGGTGTGGATTGCACCCTCAGCAAGTTTGCAGATGACACTAAACTGGGAGGAAAGGTAGATACGCTGGAGGGTAGGGATAGGATACAGAGGGACCTAGACAAATTAGAGGATTGGGCCAAAAGAAATCTGATGAAGTTCAACAAGGGCAAGTGCAGAGTCCTGCACTTAGGACCGAAGAATCCCATGCACGGCTACAGACTAGGGACCGAATGGCTAGGCAGCAGTTCTGCAGAAAAGGACCGAGGGGTTACAGTGGACGAGAAGCTGGATATGAGTCAACAGTGTGCCGTTGTTGCCAAGAAGGCCAGTGGCATTTTGGGATGTATACGTAGGGGCAGCAGATCAAGGGATGTGATCGTTCCCCTCTATTTGACATTAGTGAGGCCTCATCTGGAGTACTGTGTCCAGTTTTGAGCCCCACACTACAAGAAGGATGTGGAAAAATTGGAGAGAGTCCAGCGGAGGGCAACAAAAATGATTAGGGGACTGGAACACATGACTTACGAGGAGAGACTGAGAGAACTGGGATTGTTTAGTCTGTGGAAGGGGATTTGATAGCTGCTTTCAACTACCTGAAAGGGGGTTCCAAAGAGGATGGATCTAGACTGTTCTCAGTAGTAGCAGATGACAGAACAAGGAGTAATGGTCTCAAATTGCAGTGAGGGAGGTTTAGCTTGGATATTAGGAAAAACTTTTTCACTAGGAGGGTGGTGAAACACTGGAATGCGTTACCTAGGGAGTTGGTGGAATCTCCATCCTTAGAAGTTTTTAAGGTCAGGCTTGACAAAGCCCTGGCTGGGATAATTTAGTTGGAGATTGGCCCTGCTTTGAGCAGGGGGTTGGACTAGATGACCTCCTGAGGTCCCTTCCAACCCTGATATTCTGTGATTCAGCTATAAATCTCCTGGCTATCAGGTGCTCAGTGTTTTTAATAACTTTGTTGCTAATAATTTAAGGGTAATATAAACTCAGACTTAATCTGTTTTAATTGTGTTTTGTCTGAAATTGTGTAAATAGAGAAAATTCTAAATAGTTGTGATTATGGTTTTCAATGTTTGTGTATAATGGTTGTACATTTTACCCCTTAAGTATGATAAAATAAATTTGTAAAACAGCCCTCAGTAGACACTTGGTAAGGATAGCAATGTTCCACAAAATTAAAAACCAAAAATTGAGTTTTATCTGTGTCATAATAAGGTATCAAAACTTTTAAATAGTCCCTCTTATTTTGTGGAGTAAGCATTTTGTTAATGTGGCATAAAATAGTAGATAACAAATGAGGTACAACACTAAGTCCAGTATAGGTAGGCTTGATCTGTGGCTCTGGCTGGTCTTTACTGGGTACAGGACCCAGAGAGGAGCAGAGAACAAAGACTGCTTTATGCTTTGCCCGCCACCTTATCTTGAGTTTAGCTGAGGGCCAGCACAAGTTATTTTAGCCTCAAAGCAGTTCTAATTTGCACAAGATGGTAATAGTCCTCTGGGTCTATTACAAATAGGAACTGACAGAGCACAAAGGCATTTTATCCGTCCTTATGTCAGGGCAATGGAGGAGGAATCCTCAGTTGACAGCTTCATTGCCCCTCTGCAGGATCTGGCCTTTAAACAGAAACTTGACTCTTGACTCTCTTTGCAGGTTTAGGATGGTGAACTATGTCATGAGAATGACTGGGGTAAGTAAAGTCAGGTTTCAAGCCTGCATCAGAGGTGTGGACATGGAGACATCCAGCTGATGGATGAGGGAGTGTGTTTTGGGGGCCATATATATTGGGTAAGACCATATGCAGGATGGACCAAGACAGGCAGCCACTCATGAACTTGTGATCAGACATTTCTATGTAATTTTTCAAGGACATATATCGATTAATGGAACTTCCCATTACATTTTTATAATAAATAGTAGAATGATTAGATTCAGAATTTTCAAGGATCAAAGTTTGGGAGTATTATGATTGTTTATTGCATAACTAAAGGACAACACAGCCACTCAAACAAGTTAAGGTAGGCAATTGTGTAATTACTATGATTGTTCAAGGACACATGTAAATACATGTGATTAGCATATGTCTTCACAGTTATGCAATTCATATTCCCATTTGTTGTAATTGTGAGCATGAATTGTTGGACAGCTCGCTTAAATTGTCATAACCTGGAAGATTTAAAAAAAAAATTGGAAGTGTGAGATATTGCATTGCTGGGGGGTAGTTCACTCACTTCACATGCAGTAGGATTCTATGCAACCAGTTGTGCAACTGGTTGAAATAGCTGGTTACAGCTGTACCTCATTTAAAGCACAAACAGGCTGGGAATCATAAAGAGAACTATTTAGTACCGCCATAGTCAAAATTATTAGAACAATATAAGTTAGGCTTATTTCCATTATTGTTAAATAACTGTCGGAAGGAAGAGTGCCAATAGTGTGAGTCATACAATATGTACATTTTGTTACAAATTCTGAGTCATTTTTAAATTGAAATTATGCATCATTCATGAGCTGAAAACCATTTAAGACAGTTGTGTATCGCCTACTTCTGACATTCTGGTTATCTGCAAAATGTAAAAAAATATGATTGCACCTGTATAACATGGCATCTCATTTCATCATGGGTGGTTTAAATATGTTAAAGCAGAAGAGGACTCTGCAGACTGCATGTAAAAGAGCTAGGGGCCTACAACACTCTTGTGAAGGGGATCAGAGATGGCCAAAGGAGTATCCTTTGACTTTTGGGATGCTGTAGGATTCTAGGATGGGAAGAGATCTGATTGAAAAATAATTATTTGCACTCATATTGCACTTTCCAGACAAAGGTTTCAGCATACTGCACACATCAATTGATATAGCCTCACAATACCTCTGTGAGGAAAGCATTCTGCCCATTTTACAAGTAAGGAAATGACACTCCAGAGAGGTTGTGTGTTTTGGGAAACCCACTCAAGAGGTCTGTGACAGAGCTGAGAACAGAAACCATGTCTCCTGATCCTGTGGCTTAGTCACCAGATCATTCTACCTAATCAAGACTGCAAGCTCTAATTTAAACTATTTGCTCTTTGAGGCAGTCCTAAAGCTTTAACAATCAGCTTGAGACTGGATGATGAAAGGAAGAGTGTAGTAGTATACTTAAGTCACATGACATTGTGATTTCTACCACAGTGAGACATGGGCTGTGAGGTGACTAACAGCCATTATGATTTTCCCCCCTGATTTTATGCAGTTTGTGGCCAGTGGAGCTGTGCAGTTCACAGAACATTACTTGTGCCCGTCAGTTCTGCAGTCCACCCACAATGCTCCCTACATGACAGTGCATGGGTCTATATGGCCTCTCTCCATGTCCCTTCTACATTTTGGCTTTGCGGTGTTAACAGAATCATGGCAATTCCTTTGCATTTTGGCCATTTTGCTGCTAGAAGAGGGAAGGGGACAGGATTTCATCCAGTATAAGCAGGCGAAGTAAAGGCTTCTGATTGCATAATAGCTCTGACCTGCCAATCCACTTATTTGCAAGTCCTGACTCTTGTCTGAGCAGAGACTGACAATCATATTACTTTTTTTGTGGTTTGGTGATGTGCATAAAAGGGATCTGAAAAACGAGACCACCGCCCTTTTCATTTGTGTCCTAAGGCAGCATTCAAGATCAGGTCTTCAAGGGTGGAAAGTGAGAAGAACACGAATAACCTCTGCTGCTTAAACTTTTTTCCATACCTAAATATTTGTTTTATTTAGCATTATAACAGTAAAGAAAAAACCTGTGGGACAAATTCTACCTTTGCTTACGTCCATGCAATATCATTGACTACTCTGGGAGTCCTAGGGTGTAAGTGAGAAGGGTGTAGAATTTTGTCTGTGTCTTGAAAACTACAGTTCTAGAGAAAAATGTGGGTGGGGTGGGGGAACAAGACCTTTTACTAAAAACCCATCAGGATACTGCAGCACTGGCATCTGAAAGCAACTTGCGAGGAAAAATGTTGCAG